TATGCACACTTCATGGCGTTGTCTCATCCCTACACCACTAGAAGCGTCTCGGAGCAGTTCGTTTGGGATGTCCGCTCGATCGTAAGCGATCAAGACACACTTTTTTGGGCAGGTTCTGGAAGGAAGTGTTTTCCATGGCAAAGACGGGCCTGAGAATGAGCTCCGCCCACCCGCAGACTGATGGGCAGATGGAGGTGGTCAACAAGATATTAGAGAAGTACTTGAGGTGCTTTGCACATCAGCAGCCTCGACATTGTCTCGCGATGCTACCGTGGGCGGAGCTGTGGTATAATACCACTTACCATCGCTCTATTCAGATGTCTCCATTCGAGGCTCTATATGGGCGGACACCGCCTATGCTAGTCCGTTATCAGTCGGGATCGAGTGCTGTGGAGGTAGTGGACAAGTGATTTGCGGAGAGGGATGCAGCCTTGCAGCAGCTAAAGGCAAATTTAGCTACCTCCAACAACCGGATGAAGCAGCAAGCTAACTCGGGACCCCGGGAGGAGGAATTCGCGGTGGGTGATTGGGTGTTGCTCAGGTTGCATCCGTACCGTTCAGGCGAGCCTATTAGAAGCTTGCAGCTCGATATTTTGGACCGTATGAGGTGCTCAAGAGGATTGGGGCAGTCGCGTATCGCCTCCAGCTGTCAGACACTGCCAAGATTCACCCTACATTTCATTGTCACTCTTACGCAGGTATCGGGGAGCAGATCCACCTGCGTAGCCACCAGAGCCACCAGTGGACGAGGATGGCGGGTTAGAGCTGGAGCCAGAGGTCGTGCTCGACACTCGCTGGCCGAAGAGGGGCAAGCGCCACTTGGCGGAGAGTCTTATCCAGTGGAGACACCTCGGACCGGAGGAGGCTACGTGGGAGGATACAGAGACCTTTCGTCAAAACTATCCTGCTTTTGACCTTGAGGACAAGCTCAATTCAGAAGGGGAAGGGAGTGTGAGCAGCACGGGCGCAAGGGCCGACTCGGCCTAGGGAGGGTAGTTTGGTCACTTATTTGTTATTGGGGAGAGAACTATTTAAGCAGCAAAGACTTGTTATTTCGATTAAGCAATAATAATATCAAAACCCTAAATCCCTAATTCCTCTTCTATCTCTCAATTCTCATCCCAATTCTCCTCAATTCCCAGTTCTCAACCCTAATTCTCCTATTCTCATCCCCAATTTTTGTCCGAATCATCCGTGATTCTCACATATATCCTCGTACCATATAAACACCTGGTTGTATTGCCAGAAGAATGGCAAGAACTGTCTTATTGTCTCCTCAAGAAAACAGTTATGAAAACAATTGATACACCAAGTACCCCGAATCCCAATCAATCGGGGACTCAATACACTTCCCCCATCAAAGGAGGAGCCGACGACAATGGCACCAGAGGCCGAGGGTGCAACTGCGGAAGCCAACTATCAACAAGGATATTTATTCCCACCATGGATCCAACCTGCCATCGGATACCCTCCTGGACGAGATCTGGCCTTAGACTGAAAAAGAGTACCATGAGAGAATTACTTCCCTTTATGCGGTCTAGCCAGGAGGGATACTAGATCATAATAATCCTCCACCGCACCTTAGCCATTAATGCCTTTTCTATAAGGGTGATATAGATTTTTCTTCTTTTTTTGTGATTAAGGTACTACTTAAGGGATTCGAACATGAGACCTCCAAGTTCTAGACTAGTGGTATTACCACTAGGCCAAGCCCTTGTTCGTGTCTAATTAAACTGTTCTAATTCCGAAAACCTACTCCGCCCTCATGATTACTCCGACAAAGCGAGCGACATGATACCCAATGAAAGCTATTCTAACCATCCTGCACACCCCCACCAAAATCTAGCCACGTGCATCACATAAACCGGCAAGGTTGTTGCGACTGCTTTTAGCAGAGTTTCCTTGCCCGCCCAGGACAAATGGCATTGCTTCCACCCTTGTAGCTTACTTCACATTTTCTCCTCCAAGAAGCCAAACGTACCAGCCTTCGAGCGGGATATCAGCGTAGGCAAGCCCAAGTACGTGTCTTGCACACCAACCGCTCCAACACCCAACAATTGGGCATCATACACTTCGTCGTTGGTATGATTTTGCTTAAGAACACTGCCGATTTGTTCTAATTTACTCTTTTACCACTCAACTCTTCATATGTTTGAGGTAGAGGTGGCAGTCGGTCGGTTTCGGTTTAACCAAAAACCAATTTCTTGGTTATCGGTTAAACAGAGCCGCCTCCCAGAGCTGCCGACCACCGAACGAGAGAAGACGACGGTTAATCGACCACCGACCGACCGGTTTTTCGGATTTGGTTTGGTTAGGGGATGGTGCGAGTTAAACGAGGCGATGGTGCGACAAAGTGGCGTGGTCGGGGCGACGAGGGGAGGGCGCCGGCAGCAAGCGAAGGCGCCAGCGATGTCGCGGTTGATCGGCGGAGGGTATCTGGAGCCGGCAGGGGAGGGCAACGACGGTGGTTGCTGGATTTGGGAGGTCGGCAGGGGAGAGCTGTCGCCTCCCGCTAAATCTCGTCAATGGCTCGCCAGAGAAATCCGAATTCCCCAAATCTAGAAGCCGGGAAAGCGCCACCACCATCCCTTCCTTTCGGTGAACCAACGAATTGACTTTCTCTTTAGATCGAGAAGACTTCTTTCGAGTTCATGGAGCTTCGCGGGGAGCCGGGGCGGGGGTCGCTGGGAGTGGGTCGCGGTGGAGGAGACATCGAGGCGATGGTGGACGACGGACAACACTGGTGGTGAGGGGGTGAGAAGAAGAGTTAGGAGGTTGAAGGGCGGCGGGAGTGGAGGGTGAGTGGTGAGGGTGCAAGGTCGGCAAAGAGGTAGGGTTTGGGATTTTTTTTATTTTTACTTTTCTATCATTGAAACGGCATCGTATGGATATCAGTCGGTTAGTTCGGCTAACCGGCTAACTGAGTTTCGGTTACTCGGTCAACCGAGACTATCCTCACCACCACCAGCCGCATCAATTAACCGTCGGTTTTCGGTTAGCTGTTAACCGGCGATTATCGGTTAAACCGGTCGGCTAACCGCTAGCCGAAAACTGAACTGCCACCCCTAGTTTGAGGTACATGTAAAAGCACATCCGAGTCTCGCACAAGGTCGGAATCATCTTAAAAAAATATGTGAAAAATACCTAGACATCGTAGACTCACCTTAACTCCAGCAATCCTGCCTGTGTCCATAGCTTGTCGTAAGAGGGCCAAAAAAAATCTCCGTACATAAAACAAACAACAATGGAAATGGAGGCCCCCCTGTCTGATCCCCCTTGTCGATCAAAAGTACCCAAACGACTTTCCATTGAAAGAAGAAAACCTTCAGCAGCCCCTATCACTGTACATGCATACTGCTTTTAGTTGTTGCAGACTCATTTTTACTTTTCTATCTTAGACTAGGATGGGGTGTGGGCAGGCTTTGGATGAGAGCTCTTTGGGATCGGAAGGATTTTGTTGGTTCCTTTGGGATTGAATTGGTAGTCTTCCTCTGATTTTCTGCGATTGGTTGCTTGGAGGTTCTCTCCTTGCTCTTGCTCGCGTTGGGTCTCAGGGGATCTGGCTACATCCAGTGACCTTTTCAGTTTCGAGAAGCTGTGCAGAGGGGTCTTGGTGACATTATTGCTGTCTTATACAAACTACAAAGAAGCTTAGAAATTTTTCATTTCTCCCAGGTCGTTAGAGAGTTTGCATTGGCTGGAGTTATTGGTCTGCTACCCGAGGTGACTAATTTAACCTTTTAGTTTTCGGAATAAATGCTGGATTTTTCTCTACCACATATCGGGATCAAAATCATTTTCAATCATCCCATTGCGCTTGATAAAAAAAAATCAGGTTGCAGCCTCAGAGAGTGACAGTGAGGTTGGGAGAGAAGGTGAGAGTCAAGAGACGAGTTAAAATCGCATTTTGTTTAGGTGTAATATGTCTCTTTGCATTCCACCCAAAAATTTGTTTTCCAATTCTCTCTCATATATCTCTCCAATCTCAACGTGTATCGCATCCTCTCTCAACTTGCTTCTAATCTTCCACTCTCAAGGCAGATCGACTCTTTTATCTTGCTGATTTTTTTGTGTTTGATTGTTGGGTTTGGTATTGATTGGGAAACAGAGTGATCCGGATAGCACTTTCGGAGTCAGCGCTTCCGGCTGTAAGTGCCTTCACCTTTGGTGGGTCATTCTTCCCTCCTGGATGAGGACCTAGGGAGTGTGAGTTATAGAGCCCGTGATTTGTCGATCTATAGGTTCCCTCAAGCCTTTATGTTACTGGTCATGTTCTCTCTCTATCGGTTTTGTTTTCTGATCGTTCATATATCGGTTCAGTTTCTCTTTTTCTTCCTCATGAGTGCCTCTTTGATATTTTTTGACAAAGTGTGAATTATCATTTTAGGTTTATTTTGCCTGTCTGCTATAACGAGACCCTAAATTATGCCTATTGTTTGTTTTGTAGTTGGATTCTGTAAGCCGAGGAATGAGCTGGTCTTGGTGGGTGCTTGGATATGTTTTGTACCATGCCTTTGAATGTAATAATGTATTTTTTAGTTTGATATGTACTACAGAAACACATGTATTTTATCTGTGTTCTTGGGGTATGATGTAAAGTGTTCTATGATTCTATGATTTTAGATTTAGATTGTGAGTCATGGGATTTGATGGGTATCTGGCGGCAACAATGACAAAGATGAAAGTTGCCTTTTGTGGCCGATCATGAACCAGGGGATGCATGGCAGTATCTTCGTAGAGGAGAGCGGGTCTTTCTCAACAGGCATAAAGCTCGCTCATCTTCGGTTAAGGAAATGCATCGGTTGTAGTGTTTGGTAGCTTCCTTTTAGTGCTTCTCCCTCTTGAGTCTTGACCTTTTAGTCTTTTCGATTAAGAATTTCTGCGTTAGTTTTTAATCATTTCTCTTGTCTATATCGACTTCAGGTGTTGTCTCTCCATACACTGTTGGTGATTTTTTTTATGCCATTGAATCAATGAATCCACGTCTGATCCCTTTTGGAAACCCAATGATTTGGGTAAGCCTCGCTCCTTTCCTATTTCCATTCACTTTTTAGAATCTACTTTAATTCTTTTGTTCATGTTAAGATAATGCTTATAATGATAATAAATTTTTTATTCTAGATAAGGGTGGTCAACTGTAACCTGGGTTAGCTACTTCAACATTGCAGAGGTGTTCAAGAATTTCGGTGTACTATTTTGGTATGGTTCCTTTCCTCATACGTTTGGGAGATTTGGTTTCTTTTGTTGGATTCATTTGGTTGTAGCTTCTTCGACGACCTTGATTTATGGCTTTTTGAATAAACTCTCTTTTGGTGATTAGGCCCCTGATTGTTTTCCCTTTTTTATTCTTGCGAATTGATTGGATATTTTCACTTTTTGAGTTTTCTCTCTTTAGTAATATCCTATGTTTATTCTTCCCTCCATGTATTTAAGAGAGTATTTGAACCAATCTTTTATGTTTACAAATTACATGTACATCATCTTTGTACGATATCCACTGATTACTGTTAATGATTTCAGGTCTAATGCAACCAAATGGAAGTATGGAAATGGAACTATCCAACTATGGTTTTTGCATCAATGGTGAATGCTCTTTTTGTTCTTAATCTATGTAACGTTAAATGTAGCTTTAAATTCTGGAAATGAAGATATGCTGATTATGAATTCTGCACTCTAGCTCACATTTTCTTGATGTTCATGCAAATTTCTTCATCAATTTGTTGGAGAACAAACTTTGGATGATGGAAATCAGTGGAATAAGTAAAATAAGTTGTTAATAATCCAATCAACATGCTTTGGGTTGTTTTATGTGATTAAGCTGATATGTGGATCCATCACTCCATAGAACATTGGAATTTGGAAAGTTAATCGAAAATATTTCTCCATTTTGCCTAAGTATGCAATCATAGGGTCTAAAACGAATTCAACCTAAATTCAAACTTCTCAGTTGTTATGTACCAACTGTTGTGCTCTATTGTCGGTTTGATTTTATTCACAACCCTATGGCCTTCGTTCCGAGCTTCTCTACTCTTTGCCACCATTAATATAGGCAGTGCTAAAATAATCTTCTTATCTAAGAATTTCAAAGGAAAGTAATAAAATAAACCTTGATATTTAAGCAAAGATAAAACTAAAATTAATAGCCTAAATTATAACTCTCATTTCAAATAGCATCAAATAGAATTTTCCTTTACTAAGCAAAGATAAACCTTTACTAAGCAAAGATAAACTCTCAGTTCTACTAAGCAAAGATAAACCTTTACTAGCATCAAATAGAATTTTCCTTATTGGCTAAATACTTTAAATAATAATAATTTTAGCCTCTCATGTTATAGGCTCAAATATTATGAATATACTTTATTGGTTTAGTTTTAGCTTAGTAGAACTTACCAAATTATTTATAAATTATATGTGAATAATGACGTAAAAATTGTAGAGCTTTCTAACTTCTAAGTATTATGTGGAAAAAAAAAACTTTTTCAACAACCATCATATCATAACTAGCTTTTTACCCGGCCTATTGGCCGGAGAGATTTATTTTATAATTTATATTAATTAACTTATTTATATTTTAAAATCATTTTGTATATTCTAGATATTTTGTGTTCTCGATTCATAACAGAGTTTGTAGTATGTTTATATTGAAATTTTTCAATATTTAGCACAGTCACGTGTGATGCTTTGGTTTTCTAATCATAAATTATATCGTTGTCACGCCACATTTAGAGCTTATGTCAAATTTGTCAACCAAAACACTAATATTCAACGTACGACAACCTAAAACACATACACATATAGTTCAAGCTAGCGTGCGCCAGGAGTACGCTATATTCTTGTATTTACACTACCATACGACCATTGAGTTTTACTATTTAGATCCCGAATTAACCATAGTTTTTTTGGGCATGATATTATACCCTAACCTCTAATAGGTGAACTCCAATCCCTAATTCTCTAACCTCTAATTTATGCACATACTTCGTCATACTTATCTTCTATCGTATCTTGAGTAAAATCAAAAGTGTAGTATACCTTGATAATATGTATATATATATATATATATATATATATACACTAAAGGTAAGATAGCCTAACAGTAAGTTGCCGCAATAGTGAAGGCTTGGGAGTTGCAGATCCCAGGTTCGAATCTAAGCGAGGTCCGTTGGTGTTCCCAAAGGTATAAGGCTGCTGGGGGCGAAGCCCCATTGGTGTCGAATTGAATGCAGGTGGCCCCCAGGTGTAGTAGGACCCACTGTCACAAAGTGGCACGTGGGGATGAGGTTCCTCGGTTATAAAAAAATATGTATGTATGTATATATATATATATGTGTGTGTGTGTGTAGTAGACTAAAAATTATCCAGATACTTCGCCAGATCTATCTTATCTCGCCTGATACTCATATTAAAGTGCTACTTGTCTATCCCCCACCCCCGAGATAGAGATCCCGCTTTTACCCCCATAACGTCAGACAACCATCGGGATTGTCTATCGTTCAATATGTAATATATAAAGAGGCAAATCCTAAGTCCCTGCTATTTATTTCTTATCCTCTCCCGCCGCCCCCTTTATGGAGAATGAAAGGGTAGGGTAGCTCGATATAGTTTTATTTTGTTCATCCTATCGGAGGTTATGTTATTTTTTGCTTTTTTGGGCTTCTTTTCATTCTCTTTGGAACCTATGATTGTGATCATAGGTCTTTAGTCCTCGAAGGGGATTGAGATTTTAGGTCCTTTGGAAATCCAATATACATTCATGATCCTCGAGTTTGGACGAACTCTCGACCAATGTTGTAAAGATTAGGACTTTTTAGTGAGAAATTCTTAGTAAAGATACTTCATTATTGGATCAATTTATTCATCCATATTGAAACTTGACACGCACCATAGCCCTCATGATGATTAAATTCTCTAATCTCGACTCATTTCCATTTTGGATGTTAGTTTTTTTATGAAGACGTTTACATTTAGTATATTATACAATATGTATAAATCGTTAATTCTTGAAGTTTAGACTATACCTCAACCCGTGGTTATTGTTATGTTGACTTAGAATCTCAATCTAATACATTCACACACACTATCGAGGATTTTGGTCTTAACATGGTCGTTGAATGTGTAATTTTCAAATATTTTATCACATATATTAATAATTGATAAAGAGTGTCTACAATACACATATTTCAAGTAAATGTCTTATCATTTGAACAATATTGGTAGATTTCATTTGATTATTTGCATTAACTTATTATCTTATACAACATATATCAATTCGTGTTTCTCGAGTTTGGACGAACTGACAACCAATTTTGAGAATTGAGATTATTGGATAAAAATACTTGATTGCTGGTTAAATATGTTTATCCCAATTGACTATCTTACTAAAAATTGTCAACCTTTATTTTGTAAATGCCTAGGTTAGTAGTTGGTGAAACATGATGTTTATCGTAGTCTCATCCTAGGGTATGAAGTCAAAGTTAGTCAACAATCATACTTAAGTCATTTTGAAAATTTTGATTTATAATTCTCGACGATAACTCCTATTTGAAAGAAAATTTCTTAGCTTACGACTTAGGACCTCAATAGTGCTTGCTCAATCAACATGAGATAGACCAAATATTATTAATGTGATATTATAACACATTATAAAATTATTGCACATGTGATTCCTTTTCGTTGAGCCATTTAAGGTAGAACATGATCTGAATGAATAAAAAATCTTTTCAAATAAATAACTGTAACTACTCGATCAAGATTATACTATGACATTTTGCTAAATAATACTTGAATGTCAATTTTTTATTTTCTCTCTTTTCATATATATTTTGTTTAATTGATAAAAGTTTATTGTTTATGTGTATGTTTGTTTAATTTTTTTTATCAAAATGTAACTTATCATTCAATTTAGTAAAAATGAGTAGAAAATTTTCTTCATAAGGTTTAATCAGATATTTTTTATTTAAATGAATGTGATATATATCACTCTCTGTTTTCTTATTTATATCTTGTTTACTTAACAAAAAAATATTATTTATGTGTTTTTTATTAATTTTATTAACATGTAACTTATTATTAAAGAAAAAAAATAATTGGATAAATGAAAAAGAATAATTGGATAAAAGAAATGAAAATATTAAATAAGAGAGAGATAGCTCCATAAATACATTAATAACTAAATTTTTTGTTTGTAAAAAAGTTGTCCAACTTGGCAAATTGTGGATCCTCTAAGTGCTTATGTGGCAATAGATTGCTTTTGAATTGTCATAATATATTTTACTAGTTTTTCACCCTGCCCGTTGGGCGGTGCATTTTTTATTTATTTATCGTTGTAATAGTCTAATCTTTTTATGGCTCATATATGTTATACTGTTATACATGGAATATTAAACTCAAATACCTTATTTAAGCAATTGTTTCACACGTTTTAGCTTTTGTTTATTAATATAAAAACCTTAATTTCATAAAATTAGCTATTGAAGATGGTTCTTTATTGATATAGAATTTTGTATCGAAAGCCACCGTTTATGGTATAAGTAGAGGATGTCAAAATTAAAAAATGAATAGAAATAATTATATCACGCGTTCATTTAGTATCGAACCTGTCGACTACTGTTAAACAACATAAGAGATTATTATTCTTTTATATATCAAGCAAAAATGACCAAAGAAGTTTAAAAAAATAAAAGACCACAAACGAAGAAGTTAAAATTAAGCAAATAGGTTACAATTAATAAAAACACGTGAAGATCTTATCCTTTTCTCCCTTCTCGTTTGCTGGTATAGGATAACAGATTTTGAAAGAAAACATTGTCATCCACATCATAAATCTTTCGATATTCATTTAACTTGCATTTGAAGTGTTCTATCAATACCAGTCACAAATAGAACTATCAGTTGTCACTAATTTATTAAAATAATATTTCAGCAAACTAAACTGCATATAAACACAATTTATATATAGTAGAGATCTACATATTTTTCATGCTGCGGAATGATGTCTTTTACCTAATTTCAGCACACACTAATAATAAAAGTGGTAGACTTCAATAAAACTTAACTCATTCTATCTTATACAATCCCCATCCATGAACAGGGATTGATTTCAACCTAATTGTTTTCTTGCCAACTAAGGAAACAAAAAAATGTCATTGTAAACGTGTAAAATTTGAAAGAACATCGACATAGACACACTGTTTACCACAACCGCTTTCTTTCTTCTTAATCGCCTTTATGAAACACCACATATTTCCCGTTTACTTAACACCTCCTAAATACTACTTGCTGATAAGATCATCATTGTATAGCTAGCTAGTGGTCACTGTAGAACATATAAAAACACAAAAACATCATACCCTCTCAACTTTGCTTTCCATTCCAGGGCCCATGGAATCATGATGCCATCGGCCTCTAAAGAAAACGATCAATTGTTCAATCAAGGAGAGATGCTCTAAGTTCGAGCAATTAACTCTTCCAATTATTTGTTACCTATTTACATTAAAGTAGAATAGATAATCGTAAAATAACAACTTGAAAAACAAATAAGAAACCCATTAATATAATCAAGTAGGCAAATTTTTGACCTGTCCCATAATTTGGTACAAAAGGTATACCGGATGAGTAGAAGAGTAGAACTTGGCCGCTCGACCTGCAGGCAGCCGCAAATCATTGGGAAGAGAGACATGTCGCCAGTTGAAGATCAAGAGGAAGAGGGAGCAATTCGCAATCCTCAAATTGGTTCGCTTCGTCTTTGCAAAGTTGGGATGAATGTTTTTTCGTTAACAACCCAAAAAGATGTTATAACTGCTCAATTCCATATGCCTTGTCACTTCCTCCCATGTATCTTTGTGTAAAAAAGTAGAGACAAATGCAAGAAATCCCAAAATTTTGAGTAAATAAGAAGATAGTTTCCTTGTTTTTTACATGACTTTATCCAAATTGTTATTTCTTCTTCCTACCAGTGTTGGATTTTCCTTTTAAAAATATAAGCTATCGGGAAAAGGGATGGAAGCAAACCCATAGAATGCATTGGAAATTAAACATTGTCCTTTCCTTAATTTACATTTTATTGATAATAATAATGTATTTAAAGTGTAAGCAAAAAAAAATACCAATTACAATAAGAAGAGCCCAGATTTGTAAAAAAAAAAGGAATTAGAATAGTCCCCTTGGATGGTTGAGATAATGCTTATATATTTAAGTGTAAGAAAAAAGATCATTAATTAGAAATAAAAGAGCCCACATTTGTAAAAAAAAAAAAAAAGAGGAATTAGTAGAGTCCACCGTGGATTATTGAGAGTTAGCTATATGCCTATGTGGCACTAATTTTGTTTTGAATCCCTATAATATTAAGTAAGGATAGATAGATAGATAGATATAAAGTACGAATTAACTAATTAAGCTCATATTACCAAAATAAATGAATAATTAAAAATAATAACCGTAATAATGATTAATAAGAATATATCAATAATTTTTTTCTCTACAATTATGAAAGGGCGACGATAATGGGCAGCATTTTGCATTGTCATGAGAAAACCCAACATTAGTTCTCTATGTTCTAAAAGATATAAATATGCACTTGATATTGATTAATTAAAAAAAGAGGTGACAAATTGGCAAATATGTTCATTCCTCGTCATCTTAATGTTTTACAGTTGCAAAATAAAAGATGAATTTTTACGCTGTGTATGTCGTCATAACTTTATATACCATTGAATACATGTAGTAATATGGCAAAGCCTTTTGTGCGTAGCAGCTAACGGAATATTGGACTTACCACTACTATCTTACAATATCATATATGCCATTAAACTACAAATGAATTTCAAAGAACCGCCCATCAATTTAAAAGAACGTCTTCTTCTTCTTCTTCTTTCTTTTCATCCCCTTTTAATTCTAACGAGTAGAGGTATCATTGCATTCATAAAATCAAATATTGGGGGGGTCATCATTGCACCTATTATATCATCGTTGCGAGTTAAAATTTTAGCTTCATAAGACCCAACTCCTCAAATTCACAAACAGATAGGGAAGCAAGACAATTAGAATATGAAAGAAAGAACTATGATGATAAATAATAAAATAATATATCGAGATACAACTAACACATTACATAGAGAACTTACACATGTGTCTCAATCATCATTTATCACTTCCTTCATCTCATATTTAACTTTACTAGCAATTGCTTTATTTCTCAAATTTCCCCTAGATTTTCATTCCCCTTAACAATCATCCCCTCTAATCCTTACGTCTTCTTGTACATTTATGCTCAATTTTCATATAGTTTCTTCCAAGATTAGAAGAAGATCAGAACCATACTTTCTAGTGCTACAATATCATCCCTCGCTACCAACTATAGAAAAGGGTTTTCAATTCTAGCTACACAAGGAACCAAAATTGAAAGATTCATTGGATGTTCTTATGTTGATTATGTACATAAAAAAGTTAAGGAGAAAGATCCACAAGCTTAAAGTTGGAGTCCCTTAAAAAAAAGCTTAAAGTTGGAGGGGAAAAACAATAAAAAAAAACTTCGACGACGTAGAAGAATCTCACCATCTATCTGTCCACATTGGTCTCAGCTTCCAAATCGATACCTCTACCCCTCCTTCTCATATGTGCTCCCAGACTTGAACTCGAACGTGTTGATGAGCTCCTATTAAATGATCCAAAAGAAACTGATTCGCCCCGCATATTTGAAGATGAAGAAGAAGACCTAAATCGCAATAAGGACAAAAATCCACGGACAATTCTTCTCAATCCACCACTATTCCCCCTACCTCGATTGGTTCTGGTAATCCATGAAACCCTTCTTGGAACTCCACTTCTTCCACCTCCTCTACCACCATTGAATCCTTCGTCCATCTCTGTAAGCACTCTTGGGGAATTCCTCTCACTTACCCTCATTCTACCTCTGAATCTCCCCACTGCAAACCCTCCTCCTGGAAGCCTCCATATCGTTAGCCCAACAATCTCCTCTATGGGTGGTGTCTCTTCTACATTCTCACCTTCTTGTTGATCTCTCGGCAACTCATGTCTGCACACCGGGCAAGAATTACGAATTGCAAGCCATGGGAGGATGCAATCAGAGTGGTATATATGTTTGCAAGGCATTTCTCGAGCTCCGAAACCAATCTCAAATGGCTCTTTGCATATGGCGCAATTTGATTCGGAGAGCACGACTTTCTGGTCGATCTCCACGGTTGGAAGCATTTCAACTACTACCTTTGAAGCAGGTAGGTTCCCAATCCGGCCAAAGCTACTTATCTCATTCTGGTCCAAATGATTCAACAACAACTGAAAGCCAGATATCATCAAGAACTCAGATATGGAGGTGGGCACTGGTCTAAGGCCCGACCCAGTCCCATCATCATAGTAGAGCTCATACGTGCTCCTGCCTTCTATGATAGCACCACGTAACACCACGATAGGGTTATACGAGAATCGATCCCCTACATTAGGATGCGTTCGGCGAAACCTTAAGTTGGGGAATCGATTAGAATTTCTTCTTCCCCCATGTGAGTTCAAGGCAACATTGTTACCCAACAAGTTTATTATACGGTACGGGCTCTCAACTTGGGCATTTGACTGGATTTGCTCGATGAATTCGTTACCGCAATGTGAACAATAAATTCCCAAGTCGTTGGTGGACAAAAAGGTAACAAATTGAGTGCAGTTGTAACACCAATACAACGAGGGAGGCGAAGATGTGGATGGTGCAATGGTGGATGATGACATGATTCTTCTTTTCTTTTTACATATAACTTCAAATCCGCAAACGATCATAGATATAGAAAGAATGAAATATTTTGAAGAGATATAGGAGGAGAATTTTGATTTTATGGAGAGCAAAAATAGGAAAGTAGATATTTAACACAAGAAAGAATATGGGTGGTGATGGTGGTAGAGGAAGGAGGGTGAGAATCGCGAAGATGCATCCATAAGTGATGCATGAGCAGCCCGTATTTACCGGGTTCAAAATTAACCAAGGAGCATGTAATCACAAATTAGGATATTTGAAACAAATTTTACAAAAAAAAAGTTAATAAAAACATTTCCCTCAACTTCATCCTTGTCGTGGTAGGTAACAACCACAAAAAAATTCTCTCCATCTTTCCTTACGTCGTTCAATAATGAAGTACTATCTTTGACAAGTATGTGGCCTGGGCATAAACTATTTTTGTATACAAACAAGAAAAAAAATGTTTATGGTTCACATTCCTCTTCAGACAAAGTTCAAACAACTTTATGAGAGTGTTAGATTATTGTGGAATTTGAATTCTCAGTAAACTACTCTTATACAACTTTCTTATGAGTTTGAAAATTACAAATTCGATCATGCATACTCATCAAGGTCATCTTGTTAGAGTGTGCGTTCGAGCTGCCTGATTTGTTGCCCAAGACATACATATCAAACATGACCAAAATCCCTTAGCCAGTCCTACTGGTTAACTATGGACGTCTAACCAAATTATTCTCTCCCTTATCAACTACAACTACACTAAATGGAAGTGGGGAAATTAGGAGTCCATAAACACTTGAACCCACCACTTCAAGATTATAATATGTAGTGGAAATACTAAGTTAGAAGTCCATCATGTTTTTTTTGTTATATTATCGTAACTTGAATTAGTTGTATTAAAATGAGGATCATCAAAACATCACATGACTGTAAATCACAAAGGATCACAGGTACCAAGCCAACACAAAGCATGTTTCCAATTTGAAAAGAAAAGCCAACATTAAAAACTAAATTTCATGGGTCGAAGGAGTTGTAGCCAACAAGTAGAGACTTTCACAAACTCTATCATATTCCGTCCGGTCCTCATCCTTGTTCATATTGGATAAGGGGGTCTAGCAACTACATTTAATGTTAAAATGCTATAATACTCTGTCACTCGCCTTTCATAGTATCATTCACATCTCTCTTTATTCAACTTTTTGAATGTTGCAAATACCATTTTCTATCTTAAAAGTTTTGTAACAAATATAAGAAATAAAGTAATTGGTAAATATTTACCCTCTACCCAATTATCATAGTTCAAATCTCTTGAGCGTATATATTTAATTCCCTTGTTTAGATTTATGGCTCTTCGACTGATCTCCACACCAAACCACATCTCTAAGATAAAATTCCTTAATTTCCCAGTAATCCAACATTGGTATTGAGCTTGTAAACCTACAACTTGAGGCTTATTACATTATTTACAATATTGAATCGATGCACACAAATCAAGGTTAGTGGTTCGCTGAGCCTCCATATAGTCATGCAGCTCATTGAACGACTTCATTCACTTTTTTTTTAACAGAAAATTTTAGTTCATTAAAATTAAAAACCAATGGAAGGGTTACAACAAGTGAAGGTACAATAAAGAGCATAAAGGAACTTCAAGGTCCACAATAAAAAGCCCAAAGTTGAAAAGAAACAGCCCAACAACAGCGGACCAGAAAACCCTAACATTCTCTTCAAACAATCAGATCCCTTAGCAGCCGCCGCAAGGGACACCAGATCAGTCGTTGTCTTCACCAAACTTCATCCATCGGCGGTAAGAAAAGCAAAACCGACAAAGCGCATGAAGGGAGAGACAACGAGAGCACTTGCTTGAAAAGACGAACACACCCACCACAAATCATCCAAAACAAAGAAACCAAAGCTTCAACAAGATTGAAGGTAGTCGAAGCAGCAAAATCTGGACCATGAGGCAATCTTCTAAGAAACATAACAGCGACCCTGCCCTCAGACTTCAAGAATGAGGGTTCGTGGTCTCACATAGGAAGGCCGCATCTCCACCGAATCACCACGCTAGTTTTGAGTAAAGCAAGGAGGAGGAACACATGAATCTTGAGAGGAAGAGTGCAAACCAAAGGGAGGATCCCTTGAGCTCACTCTGAAACCAAGTAAAGACCACAGATCTGTAGAAAATAGATCGGATCTAGCAAAAAAAAAACATCTGCAGGAGAGAGTCAGTGGAGGATTCCACTTAGGGAATTGCAAAGAGCCAAAAAGGGTTGGAAATGTCAAAACAATGGCTGGAAAAGCATAGAAAAGGAAAGAAACACATTAGAGGAAGCTGGGAAACAATGGGTTGTCGTCGGTCACTCTAGAGGTGTCGGCGACAGCCGAAGGAAAAAAGAGTAGAAACTAGAGAGATGAGAGAGCGTTTGCGACTAGAGAGAGAAAAAGTTTTATGGTTGCATCAAGTTGTTTCAATCATCCGACTTCATTCACTTGAACCTTAGAGTTATTAACTTTTTGGTTGTTACCATATAAATTAGGGGTGGAAAATGGGCGGGTGTGGTTACCCGCACCATATTTGCGGGTACCCACACCCACAAATTTGCAATTATGCTACCCACAACCCGCACCGCAGTGGTTAGTGGGTGACCACTACCCACTGCAGGTTGGGTGTGGTTACCCGCAAAAATCTATCTTTGCAAGTATGGAGTGGATGCCTCCACTAACGTATTTGTTGTTCATAGCTAGACTATAGTGATATAAAATTGTGTCGTTCACGGAGATATAATTTTGTATATCGATCTTACTCAACGTGTAGATTATTTCTTTTCGAGTTTGGTATTCAACTTTTGTGTTAGGGAGCTGTGATTTCATATATGATCTTGTATTTTCTTTCACACAAAAGCAAAAACATACAGATAAAAGTTACTAAAGGTGCCAACTTTTAATGAAACGATTATTACCCACTCTCTCGATTATAGTGTTTTATAAACTAAAAAATTCTCACTTAAAACTGCTTAGATGCGTATTTGATTGTGTGGCTACTTTAGTTTTTTGCCTCCCACTTTTCACATACTATTATATTATAAAGTATTATTAGTAAATAAATATAATAAGTGTGGTTAATCTGGATTTTGTGGGTTAACCGCGATGGATAGTGGGTAACCACTAACCACAAAAGTTATTATTTTACTACCCACACCCAACCCACTACGCACAACTTATGGGTATGGTTACCCACAATGAATGCGGGTTGGTGCGGTTTGCAGGTTATCCACAACCCGCAACCCAAACTTCCACCCCTAATATAAATTAGTGGAGGGTGCAGAATTCCTAAATAATGGGTATAAACTCTTTTTTTTCAAGTTAAATAAGCAAATTGTAAAATAAAGTGAGAATTTTTTTTCTTCGCTACACCAAGAGATGAAATCTATCCAAACACCCACTAATATTGATTCAGGTCTAATTGTACACTTTTTATCCACGTTTCTCTTTGGCGTTTGTGGCATTTGAGCGCCTAAAAGGGTGGTTTTACGCTAGTTTCTTGTGTTTCAACGTGTTTCAGAGTCTAACAGGTGAAACCAACCCTGGAGGCTAAAGTTGGAAGAAAAGGCGCTAAGACCAGGCTAAGAGGAGGATCCAGCCATAGTTCATGACCAAAAAGACTTAATTACCCCTACTCTTTTCATCAAAATAACGTAATTGACACCACCCTTTAAAACGACCCGGGCATCGTCGTTTCCACTAAAACGGCCCGAAAAAGTTCAAAATAGCAAATGAAAAAATTAAATCTCTTCTAGGATTAGAACCGTGACCTTTTATTTGTCACAAATTTCAGATAACATTCTAAACCATTAGGTTGGTCGCCTGCTACTTGTTCACTCATTAACATCAATTATTGTTAATAGTTAATCTGAATACTTAACTTATAAATTCTTAATACGAAATGTAGACTATCAATAGACCATGTCATCATTCTCGTGTTAAGTTTCTTCTAAAGTCTCAAACTAAAATTTTTCGAAGGATCAAATTTGCTCCATCATTTTAAAATATCAAGCCCTAAACACGAAGCAATAGTAAGTGTTTGGTTTCCTTTCTACAAAAGAAATCATTTTAAACCGAACTACGTGGACTTTGATCCCGACTACTCGAGCACGTTGGCAACCAATAGGTTCGTGTCCAACTAACCTAAAACTTTTTCATTCCCAATATGTACGTCAATAGACGTAAAATCCAACTAACAAATTTTCTCAACAATTTAACATGCAAACGTTAACATTCAAATCACTCATTTTAAAACGAACTACGTGGACTTTGATCCATACTACTTGGGTACATAGGCAATCAATAGGTTCGAGACCAAATAACCAAAAACTCTTTCTTTGCATTTGAGAATTACGTCAATAGGTGTATGATCAAATTTAATAAATTAAAAAATAACTAATTAATTGAATTCTATAATTAAATACGGAATAAAGCCAAATAAGAATAATACACCCAACTCTTAAAAACTTATAGATTTAAGTAGTAACAATTTTGGGTGTTGTGGGGTGTGAATACACTTCCCCATAAGTAACCGTACTCCCGAACCCAGAACTTTCAAAATTCGTAGACCAAATCTCGGTTCTGACCCTAAGGCCGAGACCGGGCCAAATGAGTGTTCGATCCACTCCAAGTACGATCGATGGCGGCTCCGAGCAACTCACGATGAGTCCCCCCCGATTCCGAGGGGCGGTTGCGATAGTGGCAACTCCGCTGGGGAATTTGAGAGTCGAGCTACAGTAACAAATCAATAGGTCTTTCTTTTCTTCGCTTTTTGGGTGTTCATTATATTGTTTGTGCATTTAATTTATCATGTATTTAATTATTTGCATTCATTCAGAAAAGCTCTATACCCGAGCCATCTCTTTAGAAAGTGAAAGGAGTACCGTGACTTCTACAATAGTAGAGGAATAACCCAAAACTTTCTAACCAAGTTGAACTCGAATCCGAGGTTGATTTG